TTTCTCCCATTCTGTAGGTTGTCTCTTTAGTTTGTTGATTGTTTCCTTAGCTGTGCAGAAGCTTCTTAGCTTGATGTAATCCCATTTGTATATTTTTGCTTTTGTTGCCTGTGCTTTTGAGGTCTTATCCAAAAATTCTTTGCCAAGACCAATGTCCTGAAGTCTTTCTCCAAAGTTTTCTTCTAGTATTCTGATAGTTTCAGGTATTACGTTTAAGTCTTTAATCCATTTTGAGTTGGTTTTTGTACGTAGAGAGAAGGGTCTAGTTTCATTCTTGTGCATACAAATATCCAGTTTTCCCAGCACCATTTATTGAAGAAAGTGTCCTTTCCCCAATGTATGTTCTTGGTGCTTTTGTTGAAAATGAGTTTGTTGTAAATACATGGATATATCTGTGGGTTCTATATTCTGTTACATTGGTCTATGTGTCTGTTTTTATGCCAGTACTATGCTGTATTGGTCACTATAACTTTGTAGTAGATTTGAAGTCAGGTAGTGTGATGCCTCCAGCTTTGTTCTTTTTGATCAGGATTGCTTTGGCTATTCTGGGCCTTTTGTGGTTCCAAATGGATTTTAGGATTGTTTTTTCTATTTCTGTGGAGAAAGTCATTGGTATTTTGATAGGGATTGCATTGAATTTGTAGATTGCTTTCAGTAGTATGGGCATTTTAACAATATTAATTCTTGCAATCCATGGGCATGGTATATCTTTCCGTTTTTTTTGTGTTCTCTTCAATTTCTCTCATCAGTGTTTCATAGTTTTCATTGTAGAGATCTCTCACTTTCTTGATTAAATTTATTCCTAGGTATTTAATTTTTTTATAGCTATCGTAAATTGGATTGCTTTTTTCATTTCTTTTTCAGATTGTTTGCTGTGGGTGTTCAAATGCTCAAATGAATGTTCAAATTCAAATGCTATTGAATTTTTATGTTGATTTTGTATCCTACAACTTGACTAAATTTGTTTATTAGTTCTAAGAGTTTTTTTGTGGACTCTTTTATGTTTTTCTAAATATGAGATCATGTCATCTGCAAACAAGGATAATTTAACTTCTTCCTTTCCAATTTGGATGCCTTTATTTCTTTTTTTTGCCTAATTGCTCTGAGTAGGACTTCCAGTATTATGCTGAATAGGAGTGGTGAACGTGGGCATCCTTCTTTTTTCCAGATCTTAGAGGAAAGACTTTTAGTTTTTCCCTGTTCAGTATGATGTTAGCTGAGGATTTGTCACATATGATCTTTACTGTTTTGAGGTATGTTTCTTCTATACCCAGTTATTGAGAGTGTTCATCATGAAGGGATATTGAATTTTATTGAGTACTTTTTTTAGCATCTATTGAAATGACCATGTGGCTTTCGTTCTAGATTCTGTTCACATGATGTATTATGTTTTTTGATTTGCATATGTTGAAACACCCTTCCATCCCTGGGATGAATCCCACTTGATCATGATGAATGATCTTTGTAATGTGTTGTTAAATTTGGTTCACTAGTATTTTGTTGAGGATTTTTGGACTTGTGTTCATCATGGATATTGTCCCGGTTTTATTTGTTTGTTTGTTTGTTTGTTGTGCTCTTGTCTGGTTTTGATATCAGGGTAATGTTGGCCTCATAAAATGAGTTTGGAAATATTCCCTTTTCCTTATTTTTTATTTTTTG